ATCTTAACTTCACCGATAGCGGTTTGTCCTCTGCTGCTAGAATATAAGAGGTATATTCGTTCGCAGTATAATTACTATATATTTTCATAAAACTACAATTACATGAAGCATATTCTATATACTACAAGAAAATGGGGGGTTTAACTCAGTTGGTAGAGTGGATGACTTTTAATCATTATGTCACAGGTTCGAACCCTGTAACTCTCATTATTCACAACTAGGATGGGTTGAATCGAACAACCTTTACTAGAATCAAAGTCTAGTGTCTTCCCGTTAGACGACATCCTACAAATCATCTATTCATGATAGATAATCTATTCTCGATATGCCGACTACTAGAATCGAACTAGTGTCAAGTAATTACAAGTTACCTATTCTACCACTAAACTAAGTCGACATTGATCTCTGGGGGAGTCGAACCCCCGTCTATAGAATGAAGATCCATAGTTTTACCGTTAAACTAAGAGACCTATTATTCATTTAATACATCTAACCTCGTAGAACGCATCCAGGAATTGAACACTGGTCTAACAGATCATGAGCCTGTCGTGCCACCTTACACCAAAGCGTTTGTAGTACTCTTATAACTGTACTAAAACAGTAGGGAGAAATTAATTATTTATGATTTTCTATATTTTATAATCGTGTGTTATTATATTTTGTTATCGTATTAATAATAATAAGTGACGTTAGAACTAGGGGTAGAAGTTCTACTCCATAAAACACAGTTGGTACTAGAAGAATTCCTGTTAGACTAATTAGTCCTACACCCATATAGTAATCTGTAAGGTTTCCTGTATCTAGTTTAGCAATTGATTCACTACTTGAAGTAAATGAAGTACTTAGTCCTTGAGGACCTAGTAGCTCAATTACACCTCGGTCAAGAATTTTAGAAATAGTATACCCTATATTCAGTCCTTTATACATAACATAATGATTATAAATAACATCAATATAGTATTTACCGTTGAAAAATTTATAAAGAGATCGGCCAAATGTCGAGTCTGTTAGTTGAACTGTAAATACTTGTTGTACATGGGATAGGGATAGGTCCTGCACCTGCGAAAGTACCAATCGCAGGGAGTAGTTTAACAATTTGCGGTAGACCAAATTCTGCTTCAACCAGACTAATACGCGATGGATGTGTAAATAGAACGGATGAAGAGAAATCTGAGCCTATACCAACAAATAGATCTTTTGCAACATATCCAAAGAAAATAGCAAACAGGGATAGAATTAGCAGAGGTACTATTACAATGAAAGGAGCATCATGTGTATGCATGTATACTGATTTACTTGCATTCGGGTATGTTATAAAAGTCAGAGAAATAAGTCGTAGACTATAAAAAGCAGTTAGACAAGCAGAGATAGTACCTAGCCAATATGCTACATGTCCAGAGAACTGATACTGTCCGTAGGCTACTTCAAGAATAAGATCTTTAGAGTAGA